ATCAGTTTAAATAAATAAAAAAAAAAAAAAAAAAAATTGTGTTTTCATGCCCAGTAATAATTGACTGCAGAGTGGACATGTTATGTATTATGCTATTAAGTCTTCTGAAAATGCAGAAAAGAGAGAAAAGTACAGTGGATAAAATAAGTATTGAACACGTCACCATTTTTCTCAGTAAATATATTTCTAAAGGTGCTGTTGACATGAAATTTTCACCAGATGTCCAAGTAATCCATAAATACAAAGCAATACAAATAAGTTCAGAAATTAAGTTCTGTGTAATAAAGTAGAATGACGCAGGGAAAAAATTATTGAACACATGAAGAAAGGGAGGAGCAAAAAGGCATGGAAAGACACCAGCTGAAATCTATCAGTAATTAGAAAGCAATCCTGCCCCTTGTCAGTGGAAATTAATATTAGTTGGTTCAGTCCCAACTGATGGCCTATAAAAAGGTGTCTCATGACCAACGTGTCACACAAGAAACATTTCATGATGGGGGGAGGTGCAAAAAGGCATGGAAAGCCAAGACACCAGCAGAAATCTATCAGTAATTAGAAAGCAATCCTGCCCCTCTTCAGTGGAATTTAATATTAGCTGCATCAGTCTCAACTGATGGCCTATAAAAAGGTGTCTCATGACCAACGTGTCACACAAGAAACATTTCATGATGGGTAAAAACAAAGAGCTTTCTCAAGACCTTCGCAACCTTATTGTTGCAAAACATACTAATGGCATTGGTTACAGAAGGATTTCTATACTTCTGAATGTTCCAGTGAGCACTGTTGAGGCCATGATCCGGAAGTGAAAAGAACATAATTTCACCATAAACCGGCCACGACCAGGTGCTCCTCGCAAGGTTTCTGACAGAGGAGTGAAAAGAATTATCAGAAGAGGAAACATTTCATGATGGGTAACAGCAAAGAGCTCTCTCAAGACCGTCACAACCTTGTTGTTGCAAAACATACTGATGACATTTGTTACAGAAGGATTTCTATACTTCTGCATGTTCCAGTGAGCACTGTTGGGGCCATAATCTGGAAGTGGAAAGAACATCATTTCACCATAAACTAGCCACGACCAGGTGCTCCTCTCAAGATTTCTGACAGAAAGAATTAAAAGAATTATCAGAAGAATTGTCCAAGAGCCAAGGATCACTTGTGGAGAGCTTCAGAAAGACCTGGAATTAGCATGTCCAATTGTTTCAAAGAAAATAATAAGTACAATAAATAATGCACTCAACCGCCGTGGCCTGTATACACGCTCACCACGCAAGACTCTATTGCTGAAGAAAAAGCATGTTGAAGCTCGTTTAAAGTTTGCTGCACCACATTTAGACAAACCTGTGAAATACTGGGAGAATATAGTCTGGTCAGATGAGACAACAATTAAACTCTTTGGATGCCATAATACACACCATGTTTGGAGGTCAATTGGCACTCACATCACCCCAAAACATCATGGTGTGGCACTGGCAAAATTCATATAAGTGGACATTCCAGCAAGACAATGATCCCAAACACAGCCAAGAAAACTCTCGATTGGTTTCAGAGAAAGAAAATAAAGCTGCTAGAATGGCCAGCCAATCACCTTACTTGAATCCCATAGAAAATCTATGGAAAGAACTAAAGATCAGAGTTCATAGAAGAGGCCCACGGAACCTTCTAGATTTGAAGACTCTGTGGAAGAATGGGCCAAAATCACACCTGAGCAATGCATGCGACTAGTTTCTCCATACAGGAGGCGTCTTGAAGCTGTCATTACCTACAAAGGCTTTTGTACGAAGTATTAAATACATTTCAGTAAGCGTGTTCAATACTTTTTCCCTGGGTCATTCCATTTTATTACACAGAACTTAATTTCTGAACTTGTTTGTATTATTTTCTTTGTATATATGGATTACTTGGGTTGTTACCGACATCTGGTGAAAATTTAGTAAGCGTGTTCAATACTTTTTCCCTGGGTCATTCCATTTTATTACACAGAACTTAATTTCTGAACGTATTTGTATTGTTTTCTTTGTATGTATGGATTACTTGGGTTGTTTCCCACATCTGGTGAAAATTTCATGTCAACAGCACCTTTAGAAATATATTTACTGGGAAAAATGGTCATGTGTTCAATACTTATTTTACCCGCTGTATATGATTAATTACTTATGCCTTGTCCAAATACCCACACTCGTGGTCTTGGTCACACATGCGTGACAGGAAGTAAGTGCGCAAGACTCCCAGGTCTTCAAAACGCCAAAGCGCAGTGCCCTCAATGCACACTAAATCTGGAGCGCTATTTGAGGCTTAGTGTATCCCATCATGCATCATGTTTTGGAATAAATCGTGAGACTTTTTGCCGAGATCTCGTGAGAGGCCACGGAAACCTTTCCAATGTAAGTTAAATATTAATATAATAATTAGATATTACATATAATTTGGTAGAAGAACAAAGTGTTGCACGTTTTATTGGTGCAAAGATGAGTAGTGGTGATATTTATTTTGTACAATATTTGCAACTGATTTTTATCACTTAATTAGAAGCACCACAAATTAAATTGTGTCATGTGATAGGGACTACTGAACAGACATTTAGAAGTTGATTTGAAAATGCAAAAGTATTTAAAATAAAAGTAAAGATGTAAACTCTTGCATTTTTACAACACTATAAGTGTGTCCCATCAGGTAATTAAAAGTTCTACACACATTCGTGGTCTTCATCCTCACTTGGGCCAAATACAGGAAATGCGTCATATGAGTAGTCAAGTGGTCAAGTGCAAAGACCGCAAGTGTGGGTATTTAGACAAGGCATTGCTTTGTTCTTGCTTTCCCTCCAAGGAAATGATGTCGCTTCTAGCAAGTCATGTGATTTTGGGCATATACTTTTTTTAAAGGGAAAGTAGCACCAATGTAACAGGGTAGACTGGAGTTTGAGAGACAAACTAAATTGTTTTACACATAGAAAAAAATGTATCAGTAAATTATGTAAAAGAGAAATACTTACTGTAATGTACATACTTATACTCAAAAATTGCTCATTTAGAAATATCGAACTTCACTTTTAAATAATCTTTATTTCAAAGTGAAGTTGAGAAAAAAATTCTACAGGGATTCAAGTAGATCAGTCAAACTGCTCTCAAATAACAAACACGCAAACTAATTTGATGAAGAGCACGCCAAAATGCACGTGAGGCTATATCTCCACAAGGAGATTTAAGGCCCCGATATACTTCAAACAAAGTTCTTTTTCGTTCTTCGTTTGGGGGCAAAAAGTAGTTTGAAAAGGCTGAGCGACGGTATACTGTTTTCAAACATTCCAACACCCCCGCGCTGCTGGAGGCGGGGTTTAGATTGAGTATGTAAATATGTGTATTCCCTAAACACAACAACCATGGCAGCTGTGAGAGAAGAACGGTTTCGTAAACATCTGGCAGTAGCATTGATCTATTCAATGGCAAAGCAAACGAGCAAGAACAAGCGATGTATAACGCTTTGCATAACTAAGGGGCGTTGACACCGTTTTTTTTTTTTTTTTTTTGCAGTTTCTTTCCAGGAATTAAATGCCTCCTCCGAAACTTTAAAGTCTGTCCGTGAGCGATCGTACAGGTGCAGATACATTTGTACCAGCTCAGCTATTCGACACTCCAGTGTATTCATGTTGCTCGTAACTTGGTGGTGTTGTTGTTTTGGATGTTGTGCTCCTGTCTGACCTCTGTGGAATGAGTAATGAACCGGAAAAAAAAAAATCTCATGTCAAAGAAGGTGGAGTTCCAGAACAACTAACACGCCCCCGATTGCATAATCGCCACGGACCAATGTTAGCTCAAAGGTGTTTAGGAGCCAAAACCAACTCCCCCAGTTTCGAACTGCCGAAGCGAACTCAAAACGAACTTAGTTTTGGCCTGATTTTGTTCTAAATTAAATCTTATCAGTACGTTCTTCGATTTCGCTTGAAGTATATCGGGCCTTTACACTATATCGCACAGTCCCAGATTGGACTGCAAGAAAACTTGCGTCCATTGTTGACTAGACAGGAAGGAGTCAAAAATAAAACCTGCTGCCTGACACCAGTGTTGGGCTAGTTACTCAAAAAATATTATATATTACTTATTACTAGTTACTCCTTTAAAAAAGTAATATTATTACTTTACTTATTACTTTCTGGCAACAGTAAGTAGTTGCACTACTAGTTACATTACTTTTCTTTCATGCCCCACATAAGTTTCATAGGCCTATCCCCATAAAATTCTTCTCAAATGTTACTGACAATATATTTCTGCCTCATCATTTGACCATAATCCACATTGGCTCGCAGTCAGAAGTTATTACAAACACTCAGTGGTGATTAATAGTAACGTTTTAGTAAAAGTGTTGTATTAATCTCATTAATTGTCACGTGTAGCTTGAAGCTAATTGTAGCTATAGTTTCTCTGTTACCCATATACGATTATATTCCATGATGTATTTTATTCAAAATAATCGTATAAGTTCATAAGAAAATGTTTCATTCTCTAAAAAGATTTTATACGGTTTATCAGGATCAAGAGGGATGTGGGCAAGCCATGTAATGCCACGACTTACACATCAGTGTTCAGATCATCTTTTCTCCTCACAAAATCAATGTAATGGCAATATTTCCATTCACTGAATGTAAGCTTTTTCATATTCCATATGCCTGCTGCTCTGGTGACTTCACGTGCCTTTGCAAGTTGTGAAAATAAATCTAGCAATTATTGGATCGTTGGACTTTAAATCAGTAGGGGTTGAGGCATCGAAAGTAACTAAGTAACTAGCTGTTTTAGGGACAGTAACTGTAATATTATTACTGAAATCTTATTAGTAATTAGTTACACTACTAGTTACTGCAAAAAGTAATATTGTTACTGTAACTAGTTACTAGTAACTAGTCACTGCCCGACACTGCCTGACACAATGTCTTTTGTTATAGGTGATGATATCTGGTGGATTGGGCAAATATGCCAAGGATCCAAAGTTTGTGACGGCGACAAAACACGAGATTGCAGATCCCGCTCAGCATGCTGGGCATAACGGAGGCGTCCACCACCCTCAGCCCCTGCAGACCGAACACACGCAGAGCAGGGTCCACCACCGCCCTGCTGTCCGAGGCGCTGCCCATTTTACATGTGCAGGACGGGTGGTAGGCGCTGTCTGCCTTCTGCCGGACGAAAGCGTCGATCTCTGCGTCAGATTGGACGGCGGGGCCCGGCTGCACCTCGGGGCCTCGGAAAGGGTCGAAGGCTTTTTGAGCGAAGATTTCCCGTGTGAGCTTGATGCATTGTCTGAACTCCAACATGTCGGTGTCTGTGGGACGTGAGGCGATGGAGAACATGAGGCAGTGAGAAACTACACAAGAATCAGTCAGCACTGTTATGATGTCAGGATCATCTGTTCAAAGCATATAAAGTAGTGCTGTCAAACGATTAACCGCGATTAATCGCATCCAAAATAAAAGTTTTTGTTTACATAATATATATGTGTGTGTACTGTGTATATTTATTATGTATATATAAATACACACACATGAATGTATACATTTCAGAAAAATATGTTCATATATTAAATATATTTATATATAATATAAATTATATGAACATATAGACTTAAATACATTTAAATATTTTCAAAAAATACACTGTATGTGTGTACATTTATATATACATAACAAATATACACAATACACACATATATTATGTAAACAAAAACTTTTATTTTGGATGTGATTAATCGTTTGACAGAACTAATATAAACACAACTTATGACCATTCAGGTTTAGCTACTAAGTTTCGCCTACGGTTACTGGGTTTCATCTCAATATGCTTGTAGATTTTTCTTAATATAGAAGAATCTACAAACTTTTGACTGATATTGTCGTAAGGTTCTTAAACGAATTTGGCATTTAAAAAAGTAAGACAATGGACCTTTTTCACATTTCTGGGTTTCTCAGCAGCGGAAGTCGTCATAGTTGGGTAAACTTGAAGAGCAGTGAATGGGAGAGTACCACAAATATATTTTTTGCATTCCCATTTGCTCAAATAGCAAAAGAAAAACTCCACGATAGTGTTTTCATGACTTTCAAAAAAAGGACAAAAATTGAGAGAGACTGACATCGGCAGTCAGAAGAGAGAACGATGTCAAATTTACCGTCCCTCCCATAGACGCTGCATTAGAAACACCCTTGCATTAGTGTTAACTAGTTTTTATGTAATTTGATGCAAATGTGATATAATATAAAGTATAGTGTTATAAATGTACATACATTTAAAAAAAAATTAAAATATAAAAACTTTCAAGGATTTACGATGCTGATGACCGTTAAATGCATCATCATAGTCTTGTGAAAAGGGTCCATTTAAAATGCACAAAAATTCAGACAGGAGGAAACTGAAAGCACCTGTATCACTGAACAATATTTGTTTCTAGACCGCAAAGTGCAGAATTGAACAGAATAACTATTGCAACACTTTTGAAATGTGGGAGAGATACATTTACCAAAACAAATTTCCATTAATAGCAAGAAATGGGAAAATCAGTGGGAAAGAATCCCTCTATGAGTGTGTTGGTTGGTTGGTTAATTATTATGCTCTAGCTAGAAAATGACGGCTGCAAGTAGATTTTTAACTCTAATCACAGTTTTTTATTATATTATTTTTATCGCGATACTGTAATTTAATTAAAGACAAAAATAAAACAACCATAATTGAAATGCGGGATACTGATTACATCTTGTAGGATGTGGTACAAAGTCCCCAATTTGGGGACTGATGGTTACCCTCGAATCAACAGCTCCATTACACAGCACAACTAAAACCACTCTCGTTCCTGAGGCCTGAGCTGCTCTAAACGCGTCAGATCACAGCAAACGTACCGGTGGAGAGGTAGTTGGGTTGGATGATAGGGTGGGCAAACGGGTCTCTACTCTTCAGTTTGAGCCACCCAACACTCGTGCTCCTCATGGGTCCAACATGAACCTACACACATCACAGAGAATCCATATCGCATGAAACAAGTGTGCATAAGCAAATGCGCCATGAGGGCAAAGACTGAAGCAGGACTCTCTCTTAATATCATCAGAGTGATGGAAGTCAACATCTACTTCCTCGGCTGTGGGTGAATTAAAGGGGTGTTCACACATGCAGGCATTCACAGCGACAACTTTTAAAGATTAGTAAACCATTCCTTGCCACATTTGAACGTTTCCACCCAAAATATAACATTTAATGTTTTTTAACATTCTAACATTAAAATGTCCAGTATTTTGTCACAATTAGAACATTATTTAAAGTTTCCTAAACTGTTTCTTTCAACGTTCTGCTAACATTTTCACCCAAAATATAATGCTATTTTTTTTATATTCTAAGAACATTAACATGTCTAGTTTTCTTGTTGTGCTTATGACATCATTTAAAGGTGACTAAAACATTTATTACGTTTTACTAGTTTTATTTTACATAACATATAACATCATTAGAACATTTAATTTTAATATTTTAAGAACATTTTCTCACCTTTATGGGAATGTTCATCAAGTAAAAATACCATCATGAGGACATTCCAAGAATGTTGTTCTTAGAACGTTTTCTCTCAGTTATGAGAACGTATATCAAATATTAATGAAGTTAAAAGATCGTTCGGTTACACTTTACTTGAAGGGGTGTGCATAAGACTGACATGACACCTTCATAATCATGACATGACACCTAGAATGACACTTAATGACAGTTGTCATAAACATGCATAAAACCTCCTTCATATTCATGACATGTGTCATGTCATGATTATGTAGGTGTCATGTCAGTCTTATGCACACCCCTTCAAGTAAAGTGTTACCGATCGTTCCATAAACATTACTTTTAAGAACGTTTTGTCATAACGTTTAATGTTTAAAAAACATTAGTCCTGGTTTGTCTGTCGGCAAACATTGATGTATTAGAAATCACCAGCATTTTGAGGCAGTGTGATTCACTAATAATCTTGTTTATGATATAATTCACAACACACTACTGCCGTTTAGTACAAACACATTTCTCTGCAGAATGTGAATGTTAGGTTACACCTGCTACACTAAAGATACAGCCATTTATTAACCTGTGTGAACGCCCCTCTACATCATGTGACTCTTTAGGCTTGACAACAGAGAACACAGATAATGTTTGATTAGCAAGAGTCACAACAGGCAGAATTATGTAGTCTTTAAAGTACTCCGACCTGGAAGGCCTCGATCTTGGATTTAACACGGCCGTGATCGATGACCTGAGAGGGCAGGAAATGGAACTGAATATCAGGATGAGGAACACCGGGACGACTACGAATGAACCCGCCGCTCTCCAGATGAGCCGTTGCACCGTAACCTGCAGCAAAACACAAGCGTCTTAATGTCTGGAAACGCTTCAAGTTCTTGACAGGCTTTGTGAGATGCACACAAATAACCAGAGCTCTCAGAACGCTCAGATTCATTCATTACCTGTGAATCTGAGAAGCCATTCCAGGCCGATCTTCACCATGTGGAAGGGCTTCTGGGCTTTGTAGAGCGTGATGGGTTGAGTACAGCGATGCTGCACATATATCTCCAGATGATCCTGCAGATTACAGCCCACACCTGTGAACACACAACCACCATTCCTTCACAAGCAGAGTCCACATTTGATGTTTCTGTAAAGATTTTTTGTTATCAGTTTTAATCCCAAATTCATTGGCAGCAGTCACCCATTCCTACAGATCACTACTCATTTCAAATAAACAAGTCAAAACAAAACGCAGCTGCTGGGAGAACAGCAAGCCATGCCAATAAAAACAGGTTTGAGACCTCAGCTTGTATCTTTCTGATCTCCATGTGTCTAGTGAAAAAAGAAAAAGCATAAAAATAATAACACAAACGTTTAATAATAAATGCAAGAAAATGCAAAACACATTTCGTACATAAGTAAATATCATGGTCATATCATGCCTTTTGTGTTTTAAGGCTCATACAAACCAAGACTGCTAACTATAAAGATTATTATAACAATAACTATATTAGCATTCAGACCAACGCACGATAATGTTTGGTTTATTGTTGTATACCATTTTAAATTATGTAGACTGTATAGACTTGGGCTAACATTAGTGTTCCAATAAAGCACACTAGTTTGGAAACCTTCTGATATTTCAAAACACACTGAAATACTGTCTTGAAGCAGTTATTAGGCACAAATTTTGCCATGGAGCCTACTGTAAATGTACCTTATGACTACTAACTTAAATTAGCACTTGAAAATGGTATTTTCAAAAAAAAAAAAACCTGTTAAATAAAAAGTAAAAAAAAAAAAAAAATGAAAAAGAAGCTATTCTTTACAGCAGGGTTCCTCAAATCTTGCCCTGGAGGGCCAATGCGCTGCAGAGTTTAGCTCCAACCCTGATCAAACTTACTTACCTGTGATTTTCTAATGATCCTGAAGACATTGATTAACATGCTCAGGTGTGTTTGATTAGGGTTAGAGCTAAACTCTGCGTTAAAGTGGATCTCGTGGGCCAGATTTGAGGATTCCTGCTTTACAGGCTAAACTTTACAGGTGATTTGCAGTGAATTCTAGAATATCCAAGGTGAAGTACATAATGTTTGATGTTGAAATCTCCCCAGATTAATGCACACTATTAATGTGTGCATTTGTTTTTAATTTAGAAGTTTAAAAAAAGACTTTCTTCAAAATTGATCACTGACTAAATTGCTCTGGAAAAAGAAAGTGTTTTCTAAAGATTGACAAGAAATTATGACTGGAGTGATAAAGTGACCAAATAAGTGTACTGCTGAGTCTTACCAGCTCATTTCTTAGTTCCCTTTCAGTCGGTCACTCTCAATGTCACGTTGGTAATGACCGACGAATTGGGATCTCGCTTAGAGAGACCAATCCACTTCAAGTGTAAACTAAACGAGCCAATGCACATTGGCATGCGATGATTGCATCCAGCTGCTGCTGATCGCAGCGCGAGTATAACTAGGCAGCAGGTGCAACGCATACTCAGCTTTCCGCTTCGGAGCAGAGCGGTTATATCGTTCTGCTCCTGACTTCTCTGCTACAGAGTGAAGACTCAACTAGTTTCAACGTGCTCTTGGGAAGCTCTGGTGTTAGCGGTACAGCGCTTCAGCGGCGGTGGTTCTTCCCGTGTTGAGTGGGTTGCACACATCAGGCTGCACTATCCCCTGTTTGTGTTGCAGGCGGCCATCTCCCCTGTGCGCTTCAGCACACTAAAAGAGCAATCTCTAAAAGAGCATTCATGGGTGGACATCTTTTTAAAGACGCGTCTTTTTAAAGATGACCTTCCATCCATGTGTTTCTGGATGTGGTCATTTCCTGGTGCCGGGTGATGGTCACGATCGCTGCCTCACGTGTCTGGGCATTAAGCACGCTGAGGCGTCATTTGTAGACGAGTCTTTTGTCTCATTGCGGAAAAATGACCGCCGCAGAGTTGCAGACCAGGCTCCGTTTCCTGCAATGGGGCGGGGTTCCTGTGCCTCTGCCTAGATCTAGTGTTCCCCCTGGCAAAAGCCGGGGGTGGGGGTGCTACTTCTGGCAGTAGCCAGACTGGTCTTACGGTGATGGTGAGGAATTCCCCTCCGAGGAACCAACCTCTGAGGGCTCCACCTTCCACCAGCACTTCGCAGCCAATCGAGCTGCCCAGGGAACAGGCTGGACCCTCCCGTGGGGTACCTTCGGCACTCCCCCGGCGATCGGATGTCGATTGCTGCATCGGAGGGTGGGCCAGACCTTTCTGGAGATGATGATCCAGCAGTGCTGGCGCCTTCTGGGTGGCTAGCAATACCGGATATGGATCCGTAAATGGTGGCTATGCTTGCCCGGGCCACCGAGAGGGTTGGGCTCGAGTGGAAGCCTCCACCGCGTCCTGAACCCTCGCGGCTGGACGATTGGTTTCTTAGGGTGGCTCGCGCTGGTTCTCAGGGCCCCACCCCAGTGCCTTTCTTCCCGGAAGTGCATGATGAGCTCACTGGGTCGTGGACGGCACCTTTCACTGCCAGAACCACACCGGTGGCACATCCTCCCTCACCACCCTCGACGGTGGGGCAGCGCGGGGTATACGGAAGTCCCGGGCTTATGTAGGACGAATAGATTGAAAAATTATTTTATACCAGCTGCCATCAGTTTTTTAAATTACAAATAATTTTATGTATATTATTAATGGAAGTCATGTTTTTTTTTTGTCTGTGTGTTGTGGTGTTTGTTTGTTGACTGTATATGGTTTACTGCTGGCTGTGAAACAAATTGCCCTCTGGGGATAATAAAGTTTACCTTGACCCTCCGGTGGAGCGGTCGGTTGCAATGCAATTGTGTCCAAATACCGCAAGTCACATAAGCAGTCACTCCCCTCCCAGGCCTGTAGGTACTCGTCGGCCCTGACCGGCAGTGCTTATGCGGCCTGCGGAGAAGCTGCAACTACAACGATGACTGGCTTATACTAGCTCAGTCTCAGGATCCGTTGTGCGAACACAGGGACTTGGTGCTCTCGCACTTCAGCTAGTTGGGCCTTCGGGTCAACTGGGAAAAGAGCAAACTCTCCCCGACGTAGAGGATCACTTTTCTTGGTATGGAGTTGGATTCGGTCGAACAGACAGCATGCCTCACGCAGGAACATGCTCAGTCGGTGTTGAACTGCCTGAATATGTTCAAGAGCAGAACGGTGGTCCCACTGAAACTGTTTTAGAGGCTCCTGGGGCATATGGCTGTGGCAGCGGCAGTCACGCCGCTGGGGCTGCTTCAACACTGGCTTCATGGCCACAGTCCCGAGGTGGGCATGGCAACGTGGCACTTACCGGGTCCAAGTCACACAGGCCTGCCGCCAAACCTTCACCCCGTGGTCAGACCTTGCGTTTCTCCGGGCAGGAGTGCCCCTGGAACAGGTCTCCAGGCATGATGTGGTTTACACGGGCGCTTTCGAGGCAAACACATGCTGGTCCGAAGTTGTGTTCGATCCAGATTTGAAATTTGACAAGCAGGTTAATACTGTGGTTAAGAGCTGTTTTTTCCAGATTAGGTCTCTTGCTCGATTAAAACCTATTTTGTCGATGACAGATTTAGAAAAGGTTATTAATGCCTTTATATTGTCTTGTCTGGACTATTGTAATGTTTTGTATGTGGGGTCCTGTCAGACCATTATTTCATGCTTAAAACTAGTTCAGTATGCAGCAGCTAGGCTGCTTGTGAGTGCTAAGAAAAGTCAACACATCTCTCCTATCTTGGCCTCACTCAGATGGCTACCAGTGGGTCTCAGGATAAAATATAAGGTTCTGGGGTATGTGTTCAAGGCAGTGCATGGAATGGCTCCTGCTTATGTGTCTGAGCTGATTACTTTCTGACAGTCACCTAGGTCTTTAAGATCAACAAATAAGTTGTTTCTTACTGTCCCACGAACTCATTTAAAGCTGAAAGGGGATCAGGCCTTTGCTGTTGCAGGTCCAAGGCTTTGGAATAGCCTACTATCTGAGATTAGAGAGATTACGTCCATAAATGTTTTTAAAGCGGGTGTTAAAAATTATTTCTTGTCATTAGCTTTCAAGGAGTTGGGCTAGTATCTTTGTTTTTATTTGGATTGTTTGTGTTTTATGTATTGTATGTACCTGTATGTTGACTGTACAGCACTTTGGTCTGCAGGTGCAGTTATAAAGTGCTTTATAAATAATAGGAATGAATGAATGAATGGTCCGCACGGACAACACTACGACCGATGCGTACATCAACCGACAAGGTGGTCTACGCTCCCGTCGCATGTCGCAACTCTCCTGCCACCTCCTCCTCTGGAGTAAGAATCATCTGAGGTCGCTTTGTACATTCACATTCCGGTCCTGCTTGTGGCACCTTACTGGCCCCCCCGGAACTGATGCTCCTTGTGACAGCCCCTCCTTGGCAGATTCCTCTGAGGAAGGATCTACTGACTCAGAGACGGGGCACCCTATGGCACCCGCGTCCAGACCTCTGGAAACTTCATGTCTGGTCCCTGGACGGGATGCGGAGCTTTTTGGTGACCTACCCCAAGAGGTAGTGGACACCATCACTTCGGCGAGAGCACCGTCTACGAGACACGTTTACGCCTTGAAGTGGAACCTGTTCGTCGAGTGGTGTTCTTCTCGTCGAGAAGACACCGGAGATGTCCGATCAGGGTTGTGCTTTCCTTTTTGCAGCAGGGATTGGAACGACGG